AAAAATAAAATAAAAATATGACAAATCTTAGAAAAATGAGTAGGTTCAAAATCCTAAGTTTGAGATTAAATTGCTAAGCGTAGCAATTAGCGTTAATACAGTGCGATTAAGACTTTAGTGACTATATATAGCCTTGGCACATGATCCTAGGTCTATTCTTGTGCCTCCAGCGTTGGAAATTTCTGAGTTTGTGACCAGCCACCTTCTCCCACCTTCTCCCCTCCATTGTAGCTCCAAGAGAGCATATTTTCACTTGGTGTCTTCACCAAAGTTGCTTATTAGAGTGTGCTCTAGCCTTAGATGGGTAAATGTTCAGCCATTTTTGAGTTGCGAGGGTTGTGGTGAGTGAGAAAGTTTCTGACTTGGTGGTTAGAGTGGTGAGAGCATTTGGTGATGACTCTTTGAGCTGAAAATAGCCATCTTTGGGTGAAAAGAACCAACCTTAGGAGTGCCATTTCGTTTGCTTTGTGAAGTCTGACTTTGGGAGCTTCAAGTGAGCTCCAAGAGCACCTTGTGTTTCTGTTTGAAGCTTGGGTAAGTTGTACCAACCAAGATCATGAGTTTTAATGCTTAAAAGTGGAGCCTTGATGCATGTAATGAATTAAAGTAAATAACTGAGGGTTGGGTAAGGTTAAACACACTTAAAATCGCATGTTTGAGCTTCTGTATGCATGAAATGAACCACCTTTGGGAAGGATATCTCGCGAAATGCAGAACTACATTCTGTCGCGAAATATCCAGATATTGGGTTAGAAATATCCGGATATGGGGTTCTGAATATCCGGATATTGCCAGTCAGATATCCGGATATTGATATCCGGATATTCTGGGTTTTCGAAGAACAGTAGCTGCACTGTTTATACAGAATGATGTTTGGGGTTTGTGGACTCTAGATTGGTTAAGTTGAACTTCTGTAATAATTGAACTAAGTCAGAATCAAGTGATTAAGGCCTTGTGGCTTTGTGAGAAGCCTTAAGACATGAAACGTAAAGGAAAGACGGTGTCCTTGTGTCTTATACTTGTTGAGTATGATTATTGATATGATTGTTGGTCCAAAACAGATTGTGATTCTGCTGTGTTTGGGCTTTGAGATTGGTTGGGCTCTTAGCTTGGATTGTTAGCTTGCAAGGTAAGCTTTCATGTCCTCAGTTTAGCCATTGTTGGTTCCACCATGTCCCATGGGGGTATGTTTATATGCATGATGTTGTTTTCATGATATATTGATTCGTTGAAATGCTGTTGAGCTGTTATATACGAGTGTCTTTATGATATGCATGTGGTGTTCCACATATACGGTAAGCCTGAGTATGTGGAGACATACAAGATGGTGAGGCTGTGGATGAGGTGCAAGCGGTGTTCCTTGTACTTATTGTGGGGTTGAAGACGTACGTCCTGCATTTCTCTGGCCAGTAGAATAGTTAAAACACACATGGCATGAATATTTGTTGCACTGCATAGTTTTGGAACTTATATTGTTAAATGCTTTTGAACTTATATTGCACGTGTAAGTGAGCTTGGGTGGAAGATCTTTGAGGACCCCGTGTCTTACTGGGATTTCTTTTTAGAGATCTCACCCCACTTTTGGGGAACATATTTCAGGTTCAGGTAATGCGGGGGTTGAGACCTCTAGCGGTAGGAGGCCGAAGCTTAGCTGATTATATGCTGTTGTGCTACTTATGTTGGATGCTGGATATTGACTGTTGCCTCTTATGCTTTTAGCTTCATAATGTTATTGTTGAGACTGTTGTGGGGCTTTGTTGCCTTATTTGGGTGAGCATGGGGATTGTCCATGCCACTTTGACTTGACTTTATGCTTAGTTGTTTCTAGTTGTAATTAATAATGTATCAGGATATTGTCCGGACTACGTGTTGTAGATCCGTGACTTAGATACTCACATCTATGATATGAGGTATTTCAGTTAGTTGTCTTTTGCAATTCACATACAGACGATGTTTTATGAAATGAATTAAGTAATTCAACTTGGCTAATGATAATGACGTTATAATTGAACAGAAAAAGATACTCCGCATTTTTAAATTAAGTGTGGCTTAATACGATGATATGATAACAAACCGGATATATACGAGGTGTTACATAGTGCACTGGACCGTCCAGTCACTATATTTTCATTTTTTCCATATATAAATATATATGGATTTGATTTTCTTTTATGTTGCATGAGACAATTTGTATCATGTAACATATAAAAAAGTGGATAGGATCCATTAAGAAGGAGAGAGAAAAAGAAAAAAAAGTGAGGATACCAAAAAAAAAAAAGGCCCTATCCACTTTTGTGTGTGTTGCATGAGACAAATTATCTCATGCAACATAACATTTCGCATATATATATATATATATATATATATATATATATATATATATATTGGAAATGTTATACAAGCAATACATGTTTGTGTGAGGACAGGGAGGGAGAAGAATATCTAATGATATGAACATTTTATATAGTTATGAATATGGGTGTTCACGGTCTAGATTAGATCGGTTTTGGAAGCAAAACTCATCCGATCTAATCCCTTCGGTTTGATCATGTAATCATCCATTCGGTTTAGATTTTTTTTCAATTTCGATCCGATCCAATCCAATTTTTTTCGGTTTGGATTGGATCGGTTTTCGATTTTTTGAATACCTAAAATTAGTTTCATGATTATTGTGCAAATAACATCTTTTGTATATATTGACTTTATAAAAAAAAATTGAAATACAAAAATATCAGTAAACAATACCATAGTTGATGAGACGTGACTAAGCTTTTTTTTGGGTTTAGTTGGTGAGTTAATGGGTCTTGAGTTTAGAAATTTTTAGGCTATGATTGGAGAAAGGACAAGTAGGTAGAGGATAATTAATATATTGGATCGGTTTGGATTGGATCGGTTTTCATCAACCCATCCGAAAATCGATCCAATCCAATTAAAATTTGCGGTTTTCTTTCGGTTTCCGATTTTTTGATTTTCGATTTTTCGGTTCGGTTTTCGCGGTTTGAATCGGTTTGGATCGATTGATGAATATCCCTAGTTATGAAATTGGACCACGTGAGCCCTAAACAAGGGCCAGAACATTATGTTCAATTCTTGTCCTCTAAACACATTTTAATTTCTTTGATCTCTATTCCTCAATTTGTAAACTTAAACAGATCTTATATATAGTGTTCAGGACTTATCATAGTACATATCAACTGCATGTGTTGAAATACCAATTTACTAATCAATATACTTCAGCGTTAATACTTAATAGTATATAATATGGGGGAAATATTTATAATTTTAAATTATATAATTTTGTATCGTTCTAGTTGAAACAATTGTATTTTGGTGATATTTTTACCTTTCTTTCATTGATAATACTCTCTCTTTCTCTCTCCTCCTAATTTTATGGGTGAGAGAAAATATAAAAAGCCACCAAATATGTACCAAAACACTAATAATTTATTTAAAATGACACAAAAATATATAATTTGAAATGATAAGACACTTTTTTCATATAATAACATGTTCGCTTTTTTTATAATTAATGTAGATAACTTATCTACAGTGAGCCTACAATGACGTCGTTTTGAGGCGAAAATTAAGATATTTTTGTAATTATATTTTATTTCAGGGTTATAATAGTCTTTTTCATTATAATTTTTTAATTTTTGTTCCCAAAATAACGTTGTTTTGGGAGCAAATATAAATAGCTTATTATTAGCATAAAACATTTATATTATTAATTTTATCAATTTATTTCTTCAAAGTTTAAATTTCCAATAACTTATCGGAAATCATTCACTATATTCTTAGGGGGCGTTTGGTTGAGGAAATTTTTTGGAATAGTAGGGAAATGTAATAGATAGAGAAATGATTGGAAAGATAGATAAAGTGAGATAGGTAGAAAAATGTATAAAAAAGTTGTTTGGTGAGGAAAAACTTTATTGGGAAAATTAGATAACTTTATGAAATCAACAGTGCATTAAAAACCAGATAACCGGCTTTCCGAAAAATCCCACCTTCAAATTGGGTTTCTAAACAGTGCGGATATCTATGTTTCTCATAAATCCATACAAATTGGATAGATGTGTTTTTAGTGAAAATACGTTGAAACAAACATGGTGTTTCTAAAAGCCATACTTAAGAAACATAGATATCTGCTGAAAAGCTCCCAACCAAACACCCAACCTTATAGTCTAATAGGTTAACGGAAAGTTAACGTGTTATCATAATATAAGAACATTAAAGACAAGTATTTTAAATATTTAATATAAATTTTAAATATTCGAATCCACAATATTTAAATAATTTCAAAATCAAAAGTTAGGTCAGTATTTATAGGGTTGTAATATTTAAGTATTCGAAATTTATTTTAAAATATTCAATTAATAACTTAAATATTTGAAATTTGCATCAAAATACTTTAAAACTAACCGACAATATTCAAATACTTCGATTTTAAGTTAGTTCTTGGTTAAAAAAATGGGCTTTATTTCTCTCATGTTATAGGAGAGATGTTATCTTATGTTGTGAGATAAATTAAGTGGGGTCCACCAATTTTTTAAAAGAAAAAAAAGAAAAAAAAGAGAGGAGCACATCTTTTTATGTGAGTGTGACATGAGAGATATATCTTATGTAACATAAGAGTATAATTTCCCTAAAAATATTGGACTAAAATAGACGAAGACTCTAAAATATTACAGTTTAAATTTTGATAAATCATTATTACAACAAATTTTTTTTGATAAATCATTACCAAAAAAATATTGATAAATTAAATTGATAATTTTTTAAATTTAGAATAAAATATATTTTTATAGATTTAAAAAAGAGCTTTACTTTTATTATTATTTCCTTTTCTTCCCACAATCAGTGAAAAACTGAATACAAAATACCAACATACCAATCAACCTGGACAATCCCTGTCCATTCATTCATTCTTTCCCACAAACAAAAAAGCTGCTAATAAGAGATGAACTCTTTTTTTTTTTTTTGTGTGCACATCTTTGCTTCGATTAATCCATGTTTTTGATTGCTTGCAGCACTGCTTGCTTCACCACTTGCGCGTCGATGCTCTCATTCTCTTGATTCTGCAAAAGCAACACATGTTTTTGTCATATTGTTAGAATGATCTCAGAATCATATAAGAGAAATGTTGCCAATTGCATCATTCAATTAACTCCATGACAAAAAGTGGATAATGTAGTAGTTTGCTTTGTTGGCAAGTTCACAGAACATGGGTAAACGAATCCATTTATGGGAGCCACCTTCATTATTATGTCAGTACTTTGGACTTTGAAGCTAGAATTTTAGATATGTCGCTCAAACCAAAATTGTACAACCTACTCGTGATGTTCTTTTCTGAATTTTACTACTTTGATCGATGTGGAATTAGATGAACACTTGTATAGGTTTAACAACTAATGTAATCCCATTTAGTCGAGAATTTTGAACTGATTTTTTACGCTGAAAATTATTTAAGGAAAATAGATGAAGAATAATTATATATTAAATATATGCTCTAGCATATGTTTAATAACTCAGGTAATTAATCTCATGAAGCCAAGAATCGTGAAGTGATTATAGACGCTTAAAATTATTTAAAAGGAAAAAAGAAAAAGAAAAAGAAATATCTATCAAGAGAAAGAAAAGAGGAAAATAGATCATATATATCATAGCCTGATGTCTTACTTCTCCTCCCACAGCTTCTAGCTGGAAAGTGTCTTCACAAGAAACCCTAGCATCAAGCACATCAAGTCCCAGTTCTTCAAAGGCTTCGAGTATTGCCACAAGCATACCAGGGCAATTCCTTTCTGAAAACACATTAATGAGGAAACCCCTTTCTAGGGTTTCTACGGTCACCTGAGAAAATTTTACAAAACATAGAAAGAACTAATTATGTGTTATATTATACATATATCAATATCACCTTTATTTCAAATTAATTGGGGTAGGACTAATTTGATGAACCCAAATAAAAAATTAAAAAAATTCGAGAAAAAAGAAAAGAAAAGAAAAGAAAAGAAATACATAAATAAACATTGGAAACAGGATTAAATATAAACAAAATGTTTACAAAAAAATAAAAAAATAAAATTATTTACCGGAAAAAAAAAAAAACAAAATTCGTTTGCAACCTTGGGTAGTTCATCTTGGGAGGTTGATGATTCTGCAGTTCCAAGCTCTGTGTTCAGTCCCTCTACTTTTTGCTTCAACTCCTCAATGTATCTTGTGGCATCCACAATAATTGAGGCTTTGTTCATCTGCCAAATTAACAAAAAAAAAAAAAAAATGGCGTCAAAGATTAATGAAAATCTTGATTGCAGCTGAATAAGAATCATTGAAAGCCAAAGCGAAGATGCTCAATATCGTAATCAGCATATGTGGGGTCAATTACAGCACTGGAATTTGTGAGAGATCGAAGTTGTTCCAACTTGTGCTGCATAGCTGCTTTTTTACGCGGCCTAGAAGCCATGCTTCTTCGAACTTTGCTTTAATTGATTTTGGTTGCCTCTCCCTTGGGTTTTTCGATGCCTTCCCTTTTAAATCTGAAGCTTAGGAATTTTCTTTATATAGGATGGGCGGGTTTAAATAATGTTTGTTATTTCTTGTTTGTTTCCTTGACGACTTCCTAGATATCCCCCACAGAAAATTATTCTTTTCAAAAGTGAATTACTAAATTGGCCTCGTCATATGTTATTTCTGAAGAATCATATACATGCAAAATGTTAATAAAATTGTATGCAAATTGGTGCTTGGAGTGATCACCTACCATGTTTCAAGATACGAGAGCACCATGCATACAGTGGGTTTTCATTTCATCCCACCAAAATGATCCCCTTTTATGACACATATTCTTGTTTACTTGTTCTGAATTCAAGTGTGTAAGGAATAAAATCTCGAATTTGTTAGGAATGGACTAAATAAGTGGAATGAAATTAATATGCTCCCCCTAACTTCCTAAATCTAGAGAGCCAATGATTTTTATGGTGTCACTTATGATAAACAACTCATTAGAATTGTCGTACCTCTTCAATACTTTGTTACTCACATAAACGTAGAGAGGAAAAAAAAAATGTAGAAGAAAAGCTACCCAATGATGCATTGAGAGGACAAGAGGCTAGTAAACCAAAAATTATAGACCAAGAAAAGAGGAGTCTCATCTTGTATGAAACTGAGGAACAGTAGCTGATTTCATTACAATTTCGCCCACCCTTTTTATTTCAAATGATTAACTCAATACATTTATAGTACTCAATTCCATTACTTGATTTCACTCTAAGCAACATGGAATTAGTTACTTTTGAGATCTTTTTGTATTTCTGTCCTTATTATCAAGCACACATTTTGTGAAAGCAATCTTTGTCTACCTCTTAGTTTCAAATTACATTTTATCTCCTTCCTATATTCATTTCAAATATACAATAATGTCAAGCTTAAATCTCGTTATAACTTTAGACATGCACATATACTAATAATGATCAAAGTATACAAATAAAATAGCAATCCTAATCTCACATTCCAACCAGTGAATTCCTTAATTTATTTTATTGTTCTAAAAGTTCATACAATCGATTTCCAAAGAAAGACAATTAAGGAGGGCCGCTGGTAACAAAAACCAAACCTAAACCTTACAAAGTAAATGTCATAATCCTTAGCAATTAAAGCAAAGCAACCCATTGACATGTAATCTATAATTTAATGAAAGGTGGAAGCATGTGTTGTCGAAATTTTATAGCTTAGAAGTTTAATTTAGCCCCACTAGAAGTTTCCTTCATATACGGGGTTCATGTATCAGTGTAATCTTGAACATTGATTTATTTATATTCAATATTCATATAATTAAAAAATTAGAGTCGATCAATAATCCAAATTAAATATAAATTATATAGGTGTAAAATGATTATGAACTTAATATATATATATATATATATATGTTTTTTCATGTTGCATGAGACAAGTTCTTGTCTCATGCAACACACAAAAAAGTGAGTAAGATCTATTTTTTTCTTTTCTTTTTTTTCTTCTTAGTGGGTCTCACTCACTTTTTTATCTGTTGCATCAGACAACTTGTCTCATGCAACATGAGAAAATATTTTCCATATATATATACAGTGGAGTATATGCTTCTAAAATTGGTGAAGACTCTTATCACCTATCAAGAGGAGAATATGAAAGGGCATTTAAGAGAAATCACTATAAAAAAATTTGGGAAAACATAGAGTTATACAAAGAAGATAGAGTAGGAGAGAATGGAATTGCATCCCCGTGAGAAGAGTTTGGAGGGATTGACAGCTAAACAAACTTTGACGCTTCCTTCGCAGTTTTCGATGCGTATAATGAAATGGAATCCCTTCATGGCTTCATCCGCTACTACAATCCCAATCCAACCCCGTGCGTCTCTCTCTAATCCCATTCCCTCCATCACGTGTAGATTCCCTAACCGCGTTAAGCCCACATCAACCCTAAACATTCATTCCTTACTGTGCACGTGCTCCCCCCTCTCTCCGCGTGACCTTCCTCTCAAGCTACTTCTCAGCCACAATTGACGCATGCATAGTTTAGGGGTCCAAGTGGTTTAAACACTTAATATAGTAGAGCCTATTAGATATAAGTTGAATAACATTAAGAGTGTACTGATGCTGACTAAAAAAGATCCTGTCTTTTATTATAATTATTTGATCATATATTTTATTAAAAATGTAGATAAATTCTCCATCTATGGGGTGTAGTTACCCTTTTTGTTTTTTGTTTTGTTTTATAAACTACATATATCTTTTACGGGAGGTAATCATGTTTAAGCCGGGAACATCTACATCATTGTGAGGCTCTCTCCCCCAAAGAGAATTTTTTGTTTTTATAAAGATTTGAACCTAAGATCTTGCTTAAGCTGAATCAAGTATCTACTACTTGAACTAACTCTCTTTGGTGTAGTTACCAGAAAGATCAACGTAAATGGCGGACCTAGGATATTTTATGAGGAAGAAAAATAAAATATCAAAGTTACAAATGCTATTAAAATTAATGAGAGGAGTTAACTATATTATTATTAAAAATATACAATTTTATACATATAATAATAAAAAAATTGAAGTTTAAGGAAGGGCGATAGTCCATCATTGCCCCTTTGCTAGGCCTGCCCATCATGCTCTTTAACGGGAATGTTTAATTTAAACGATTCAAAACTAGGGATAAATAAAAACAATGTTGCAGGTAAAAGTGGATGTCATGCAATCACATAAGATAAAATAAAGTTAATGAAAACAGTACCTCTTCAACTTTTTTATTATTATTTATCTTGTCGTTACTCTTGTAGGAAAAAAAAATTAAATCTGTTAAATGACGAAACCAAAGCCCTTCAAAACTATTGAACTTCAGTGCACTTGTTATTTAGTAATTCTAGTAGTAATGTTGCGTATATGTAATATTAATGTTTGAAAAAGTATACATTTATATGTAGGTAAGATTAGTCATTTGCTAATTCGATAATGAAGTGAGTCAAGTGACTAGCGTATCGGCTACGTAAAAGAGATTTCAAACACTCCAATTAACTTCTTTAGAAGTTCATCACTATTTGATAGTATGTACGCGCTGGCCTCAACTCTTTCTTCGTGATATGAAAAAATCATATGGAATCCCGCGACACTTGTTATCCAGATTGATATTTGAGTAGTTCTATGACAGGGTTACTTTGAGTATATTGATAATTTTTAATAAGACTATAGGTATGTTCACTTAATTATTAAAATTCTTTATAGTTAGTTTAAGTACTTAAAATCAAAATTTGCTTTTATAACTAATTGAGAGTATTAAGGGGCAAAAGCGGGTTTACACTTTTTCGAAACAGAACCGCAAAGTATCTCTATTATTACGCCGTGATAGTGTCACACAGTAACAAATCAGGTTTCAAACGCCCTCATCTGTGGATATTAGGGCAACACTCTCATCAGTCATCACCTCTTAAATATAGAGCCTTAGCTTTTTTATTTATTTATTTTTGGTATAAAAATTATTGGGATTTTCGGTAATAACAAGAAACAGAGCAGAAACCCTGGGCTAGGTGTTGTGAATATTTAGAGACTTAGCTTTTAAGTACGTATTCTCTTACATTTACATACTCTGCCTCAATCATCTCTATCTAGTCATGATTTTAGTGTTGGAGTTCTTATAATTTGCACCACTCCCATTCACCCATCAGAGCACATGAAGTAATCCTCTTCAACGATCATTGATCACCATAACAAAGACAAAAAAGCAGCATCACAACCCTTTGATTAGGATATCATTGATCGAACAATATTCATGAACAAAAAGGACTACCATGGAATTCTATTTATTCTAAGACTTGACTAAAATAAACTATCTATTAGCAAGTCATTTGTATGTATCTAATACTATAAGCTTTTGTTAAAACTTATAGCATGTCCTGAATATGTAGAATGAGACAATTCGTCCTCCTCTTAACTTTTATTTTCAAAAAAAATTGAGATAGAAAAAGTCAACAACCTCTTTAATTATTTTCTGAACTAATCCCTCAAGACAATTTATGTTAATTCCTACAGTAATTAGTAAAAGTTTTGCTATAGTTTTTCTCTTAAATTTCTCATCTCTGGGGATATATTGGCACATGATTTGCCTATTCTAAAACTTCAATGTTTTTTTTTTTTTTGCATTACATGGAAATTGAACACATACCATTACACTACACACACCTAACGCACACACCCTACACCACTAGGCTAACCCTAGTGGATCTAAAACTTCAATGTTTAACAAATAAGAGAAAACCTTAGTGCTTACACTATGAAGCATGATTACAGTAATTTGTTTTCTTTATTATTTCCATTAAGTTTCCGATATGAAGATTTAGTATCTGGACAGAGTAATTAAAGAAATACATGCAATAATTCAAAGTTCAAAATCGGCATAATTTCTGTCATACTCTATATTATATGGTTATTAATAGTAACTTATCTGATACTAGCACATGCACTCTGTAGTTGTGATTAGAAATATTCACATATATGCTTGTGAAGTGGAGGGATGTATAAACTATATATCTTCTTAATTCTTCTGATGTCATATTATGGATTGCAGATTGAAGCTAGTGCCATGATCCCCAAGAAACGAAAGATGAAGTGGCAGCACTCTCTCTTTCTTTATGTGTATGTGTGGGTATATACATAATATTCTTCAATGAATGAATCCAAACATTGCCCCCATTGCGCAGAAAGGTAATTAATTATCAAGTACCTACCTGTTCACATGTGTGCCCATTAATCATTGCTACAAAACAATCCACAGCATACAAAAAATAAATAATTACCTTGTCTCCTGCTATTACTACTATCAATTTTTTTGTCCTTCATAAATGTAGAGCTGTTCTAGATATCCTAGAACCAATTATGTCTCTCTCTTCAATAAGTTATACATGGGTCTTGTAGTCTTATTACTAGAATACTATTATATTAGCCT